TCCCTAAGATTGACACGCCAAAAGGCGATGACAATCTTAGAGATTCGCCATCAAAAAATGAGGGAATCCCTAAGATTGGCATCGTGACGAGGAGGTGCCCAGCGTAGGGATAGGGATATGTTCCAGGCTGGTAATCGATGTCCCTCCCCTTGAGCCAGTCCCCATCCCCCAACAGCGGTCCTCGTCTTTTGTTTTTCGGGCCACGACGACCTCCAGGGTTCTTCTGGGGACGTCTCCTAGGGAGGCGGTCTCCGCGCCGGGGACGTCTCCGCGCGCACCGCTCCGCTCCGCTGCCCCGCCCCCGGGACCTCCAGCGTCCCCTGCAGAAATCCAAGGCGGAGGCTCTTCGCCGTCGTCGTCGTCGTCGTCGCCGCCGCCGCCGCCGCCGCCGCAGCCGCCGCCGCCGCCGACGTAGCTTCTAGCCCAGGGGCGACCACGACAGCGACGAATGCACATGCACTAAGGCACGGGGGTGCTTGATCACATACTCCCTCATAGAAGGAGTATAACCAGAGCCCCTAGGAAAGAAGAGGTGATATAGTCGTAGTCGGAATCAGGACAACGAATAATACATATAAATGCATCGAATGAGGCGAAGAGCCGACGGTGAAGATGAGGAGGAGGAGGAGGACGAGGAGTAGGAGAAGGAGGAGGATAGTGAGCAGTATAAGGAAAAATGAGGAGAGCGCGGGTTGCATGAGTAAAAGAAGGAGGGGGATGATATGGGGAAAAGAGTTGGAGGTGGAGGAGGAGGCGAATGAGTAGCAGTAGCAATAGGCAATCGCGCCCGAAAATCAGTAATTGTTTTCCTTTCGGGCTCTCTTGGATGTGCTCTTGGAGACCTCTTAGAGCGTCTTGGAGGCGTCTTGGGCCGTCTGGAGGCCAGCTTGGGCGTCTTGGAACCGCTTGGAGACTCTCTAGGACCGTCGTTGGGCTATCTTGGACCGTCTTGGGCGCGCTTGGGTCGTCCCGGAGCCGTTTCAGACTTTTGGGGAAATGGGGGGCCGGCGGCAGAGTGGGACCCCCTCGGAGGGACTTTCAGGGAGGTGGCCGTTCCGTGGGAGTTTGTCGAAGTGGCGCGCAGCTTCGAAAGTCGTGATGCGGCGCGTATAGCATCTATAAAATGGCCCTCGGCACATCCCGCCAACGTGCTTGGGTTTGGGTCGGAGTCCTCAGAGACGCTTCTTGGGGTCTCTCCAGAGAGCTCTCGGGGGCCTCTGCGGGGCAGTTTAGGGGCCTCCTGCAGGCCTCCTGGGAGCTTCTTGGTGACTTTTTGGCGCCCTCTTGGGGCCTGTAGGGGCCCCCGTGGAGCCTTTCACCGGCTTCCTGGGGGCCTCTTGGGGGCCTCCTGGGGGCCTCTTGGGACCGAAAGCTCGAAATGTTCATTCGGGTTCCCCTTCTGGGCGCCCTCTTGGGGCCGTCCTGGGTCTCTCTTGGGCCGTCGTGGGGCCTCTGGGATCGTTTTTGGGCCCTCTTGGGCTGTCTTGGAGCCCTCTTGGGGGCCGGTTGGGCCGTCTTGGGGCGATCCTGGGGGCATTTTGGGTCGTCTTGGAGCGTCGGTAAGCCGAAATGGCGAGAACGCGGAATTCGTTCAAAAACCATTTGAAAATCAGTACTGTTTGTCCCTTGGGCTCTCTTGAAGGTGCTCTTGAAGGCCTCTTAGGGGCGCGTTGGAAGCGTCTTGGGCCGTCCGGAGGCCATCTTGGGCGTCTTGGAACGATCTGGAACCGTCTGGAGGCTATCTTGGACCGTCTTGGGACAGTCTTGGACCGCCTTGGGCGCACGTGAGAGGCTCCTGGGATCGCCGCGGCCGTACCCAGGAGCTCCGGCATCTTTGGCGGGGGGGGGGCCGCCAGCAGGGGGCAAGGCCAGTGGGGGGGTTAAGGGGGGGTAAAATTGCAACCACAACGCACCCGTCTCTCGGACGTGCTTCGCAGTCCGGACGCGAGTCGAGGACGCCGGCGGCGCATCACCGGCCGCTCCCTGGGATTTTCCCGAAGTGGTGCGCAGCATCGAAAGTCGTGACGCGGCGCGTATGCTATCAAAAGCTTCCCTGGCCCCACCCTGGTGTGCAACCCGCGCCATTTTGGCCGCGCCCCAACCCTGGTTGGCCAATTTGCGCTTTGCCCTGGCTCAGACCCTGGCAGCCGCAGCTTGCACCCCCCACCCGCCGGCCCCGCCCGTCGTGGTGACGCCTGAGGCCCCGCCGCTTTAGGTAATTCGTCTTTGCGCGGCCCGCTCTGACTCGACTCGCCGTGTGCGCTTTCGCTCGCGGCTGCTGACAAAAAGTATGCTATCAAATGGCCGTCGGCCCATCCCGCCACCGTGCTTGGGTTTTGGGTCGGAGTCCTCAGGGACGCTTCTTGGGGTCTCTCGAGAGGACTATCGGGGGCCTCTGCGGGGCAGTTTAGGGGCCTCTTGGGAGCCTCTTGGGGCCCTCTGAGGGCCTCTCGGGGCTCTCTTGGGGCCTCTTGGGGGCCTCCTGGGGGCTTCTTGGGACCGAAGGCTCGAAATGTTCATTCGGGTTCCCCTTCTGGGCGCCCTCTTGGGGCCGTTCTGGGGCCCCTCTTGGGCCGTCCCGGGGGCCTCTTGGGCCGTCTTGGGGCCCTCTTGCGCTGTCTTGGAGCCCTCTTGGCCGCTTGTTGGGCCGTCCTGGGGCGATCTTGGGGGCCTCCTGGGCCTTTTGGGAGCGCCCGTAAGCCGAAATGGCGGTAAACTTGCAACCGCGCCAACGCACCCGTCTCTCGGACGTGATTCGCAGTCCGGACGCGAATCCGTAAGGGCTTCGCCCTCTGCCGCCGACCCCTCTCCATCAGAATTTGATTTATCAGAACTATATTGGGATGTCTGTGCGCCGACTTGAAGACTTCTGGGGACAACATGCGAAGACGGCTGGCAATTAGCAGAACATGTTGAGATGTTGGAGATGTTGTTGGAGGCTTCGTTGCCTTATTAGAGCGTTTCCCGCTTATTGTGTATTGGGCGCCCTCTTGCAACGACTGGGTGTTGCATGAGGCCACCTTGGGCAGTACTGGCGCGTGGTGCTATTTCGACGACTTGCAGCGGTGGGTACGCGCGGAATTCATGAGACAACGGGGGGGCCGAAAAGCGCTTCCCGAACACATGTCCCAATGCAGAAAATTACGTTTTTTTTGTTTTGGCTTTGTTCGTTATATATATATATATTATATATATATATATATATATATATATATATATATATATATATATATAGCACGAAAAATCTGTTCTGGAAACGGGATGGCGCTTGGGGGCAGCTTCCGCGGGGTGGGGCCTCGGGGGCGCGAATGTAGCGTAATTTGCACGGGGTCGTGGCCTCGGAGGCGCGAGTGTGTGTAATTGACATGGGATCTTGGCCTCGGGGGCACGATTATGGTGTCATTTACAAGTGTTCATGGCCTCGGGGGCACGAGTGTAGCGCAAGTTGCGAAGCATCGTGGCCTCGGGGGCTTCGGGCCCACCACGAGATGTTTAAGAGACAGCGGGGGGTCCAGAAAACGCCCCCCGAACACAGACGCCAATACAAATTGATGTTTTTCTGTTCCGGAAAAGGAGTGACGCTTTTGGGCAGCCTCCGCGAGGTGGATTCGTAGCCTCGGGGGCGCGATTGTGGCGTAATTTGCATGGGGCCGTGGCCTCGGCGGCGCGAGCATGGCGTATTTCACGCGGGGTCGTGCTTCGGAGATGCGAATGTGGCGTAATTTGCTGGGGATCGTGGCCTCGAGGGCGCGAATATGGTGTAATTCGCGCGGGATCGTGGCTTCGGGGGCGCGAGTGTGGTGTAATTCGCGCGGGATCGTGGTTTCGGGGGCGCGAATGTGGTGTAATTTGCTTGTGATCTTGGCATCGGGGGCACGACTTTGGTGTAATTTACAAGGGATCGTGGCCTCGGGGGCGCGAATGCGGTGTAATTTACGGGGGATCGTGGCTTCGGGAGCGTGAATACGGTGTATTGTACGGGGGATCGTGGCTTCAAGGGTGTAAGTCCTTTGTATTTTTACGCGTCCAGGGCCCCCCCAAGAAATTCTGAGAACCCCCCGAGTCACGGTACCCTTGGCCCTTTTCGGCTCCCCCCCTCGCGCGGACAGTAACATTTAACAGTAGAAGGCAGAAAGCAATACTGTAACATTGGAAACTGGAAACTGAAACAGGTGCAGGGAGCAGGAAATGTCAGCCTCGCAGCCTGATGGCCCCGCAAGGGGGCTGGCAGATACCTAGACCTCGACCTAGACCTAGGCGACCTCAACCTAGACCCAGACCTAGACCTAGACCCAGACCTAGACCTAGACCTATACCTAGACCTAGACCTAGACCCATTCCCATACCCATACCCATACCCATACCCATACCTATACCCATACCCATGCCTAGCACTTGTACTTAGATAGTTACTTATATATACCTATACCTATACCAATATCTATACCTATACCTATACCTTAGACCACGTACATGTAACGGGGGACCAGGCCCGGGGGCCCTGGGGCCGCGACCCCGACCGCAAACTGGGGGAAATCAGGAGGCCAGCCTGCCTGTGGGGCGCCCACAATCGCTTCTGCACGAGACTGCCGTTATGGCAGCCACATCGGCCCTGAGTCGCCCCCACGACGCCCTCCAGGGGTCTCAGTCGGCCCAGGATGCTTCCCAAACGGACCAAGATGCGTCCACGACGCTTAAAGATCGTTCCAAGAGGACCCCCCAAAGGGCACCGAAAAGCAACGATCGTCCCATTCCCTTCGAAAGCATATATCTATATATAAATGTTTAGCATGTTTTCTTCTTTGGTTTCAACACGGCCCAAGACCGTCCAAGACATCTCCCAAACCGCCCCAGGACTGCCCAAGAGGCCCCCAAGAGGGCCCCTGGACGGCCCAAGAGGGCCGCATGACGGTCCGTAACCCTCTTGGCTCAAGCCGCTTGAGCACGAGAGGTCTCTGCCTTCGAGCGTGAAGCGTTCGAGCTCTGTGATCGGCCAAGCCATGTTGACGTGCAACCTCGGCGGCTGGCTGGAGGGCGTCCCTAGCCGCGTGACCACCGTGAGCTTCGACCCGCGCGTCATGGCCACGAGGAGCGTCTACGACGAGGCTCTGCAGAAGCCGATGAAGGTGGTGCTGCACCCCCCTGAGGAGGAGATCCCGTGGCCTGCGCGCCTGGTGCAGATGCCGAGCTCGGGGGAGGGCACCAGCTCAGAGGCTCCAGCGTTCCAGCCGAAGACGAAGACGCAGCGGCGCCGCATGCAGCGCGCGATCATGAGGGACGCGGTCCTCGCGGTCTTGACGAGCCAGGGCGCGCCCCAGCTGTCGCATCCCGCCCCGCAGATGGGCCTGGGCGCCGGAGGCCCGGGCATAGTCGACCACAAGAAGGGTGCGCTGGCCTGCGTCCTCTGAGCTCTGCCCGTGGGGCGCCAGCACGTCCGAGGCGAATCGGCGGCTCTCCAGGCGAGCAGCCATGAGATGAGAGCGATCGGGGGGGCGGGGTCCAGGGCCCTGGGGCACCCCCAGGGGATCAGCCCCTATAGTGTATATAGCACACGAGCGGCTCGAAGCGCTCCGCGATTCTTGGCTACCGGCTCACACCACCTGCGCCCCGTGGGCAGATGCACTCGGCAAGGCATCTTGCGGCCGAGGCTCCATGCCCTCTCTCTCTTGTCTCGTCTGCTTGCTTCTCGTTCCCTCTCCCCCTTTCCGTCTCCCAGCAGCAAAGGCTGCCAGTCACGACGCGGCGCGACAGCGTGCAGCTGTTGTGATGGCGGCACCGCTGCTGGCCATTAGCTTTCTACTGATGCAAGTCGATCGGAGACAGACAGACAGACAGACAGACAGACAGACCGACAGACAGACAGACAGACAGACAGACAGACAGAAGTGCCATACGCCGAAGCGCGTGGGCAGGCGACAACGCACGCCGATTGGCGCTTGGCGGGAATGGCGGCCTACCATCATTCTCTCTTGAATTGCAGATGGCTGCTGTGCAGAAAGGGGAGGGGGAGGAGGAAGAGACGAAACAACATCTGCAACAACCTTTCGCCAAGCTGCGGGATCGCAAATGCTTTGCATTGTGGCCTCCTTTGAAGCGAAGAGCGGGCCGATCATCTTCATTTGGCACTTTGCCCATTCATTCCTCGGCCGTCCTACAGCCCGGGCACAAGCGTTTGTAGCTGGTCGTAGGCATCCGTCCTGAAACGTAAGGCGCCGCAACATATTCGAATTGCCAGCCCGACCGATTTTTCCAAACCACAACTCTGGAGATGTACGCGGACGGGATGTGCAAGAGGCTGCGGAGGTACCGGGCCTGAAAACCATTGAATTGTCGACGTTCTGCCCTGTTGAGCCGAGCCGAGTTTAGAGAATGCATGACCTTACTCGTGACGAGAGATTGGACAACTTGAAGTTTGCGGGCTTTCCCAATAGCTGTGTGTTTCCACGCGCGCCAGCATCTGCAAAATTCACCCCAAGTTGCCCCCAATCTTTGGCTTACTTCTCCAGACGGCCGGCCTGAGCTCGAGATTGTTGCCCCAGGATACACAATTGGTTCTTTGGCTGGGATTGGTTCGCCCTGTGGTGTCGTAAGGCTCATATCGCAACGAACCCGCATGAACTGGAACTTGTCCCAATGCAATTCCATGCCGACCCGGGCCCCTGATTCTGTTATTTCTCCTAAGAGAGATTGCACATGAACTTGCTCACGCCCAACGAGCAGCGTGTCGTCGGCATACTGTGATACAGCCATTGTTTCTGATCGCAAAGCCTCACGGACACCAGAGTTTGCGTGGCGCTCGGCGTCTCGTAATATCATCGTCATTGCAATAACGAACAGAACCGTGAAAGCGAACAACCTTGGGATATTCCAGAACGTTGTTGTCTCTCTGTAGGTTGTCTGTCTGCTACTTTAAACGTTCTGCTGCTGTAGCTGTTGCCAATGACCGTGACGATGCGGCGTGGCACTCCGAATTTACGTTATGCTTCCAGAAGTGCGCCCACGTTAAGCGAGTCAAACGCTTTCTTCCGATCCAAAGCTGAGAACGATATACCTCCTTCCTTCTCCGCGTAGACCAAGGCGATGTACCGATGAACGGCGTGTGCAGCGTCTGAAGTCCCATATCCAGCGCGAAATCCGTATTGTGTAGGCGTAAGTCTATATTCAGCTCCGCCGTCTTGCAGCCGTTTCAAGATAAGTGTGGCCATTAGCTCATTAGCAGCGCATAACAAGCTGATTGGCTGGTACTTGTCGCAATTGTCGAGGGCCCCCTTGTTCTTGTAAATGGTGCAAACGATGGTTTGCTTCCAATCTTCAGGTACTGCTTGTTCGTTCCAGCACTTGTTGCATAGATCGGTGAGCCAGTCACGCCCACCTGGATATGTAGAAATTGCCTTCCAACATTCCGCTGGCATGTTGTCAACTCCGCATGCTTTGCCGCGTTTGAGCTTGTTTGTGATGGTACGCACTTCTTCCCTGGTGAAGTCTGACGCTAATACTGGCAGCTAATCTCCTATACTGGCGTCGTCGTCCAGAAGCTGTGCAAAGGATACTTTCCATTGCACATGCTCCAGATAGTCGGCCATCGTGTCAGCTCTCTGCGTGCTGTCCACAAGCTCGCCGTTTCAAGTTTTTAAGTCTCCCTTGTCGTCATGGCTTAACCCGCCAATGCTTTCTCAGGGCATCCCAGCTACCGCTTGATATTTGTTCATCAACCCAAATAGTTTTGTCCAGCTTGCATGCTGCACGAACCTGTTTCAATTACGCTTTCTCTTCCAATTTGTTGGTATTTGATCGTGCAATGCTGCGGCGATTTATGAGGTCAAGTGTACGGGATGAGATCCACGGCTTTATGGACTGTGGTTCGCGCCTCGGCAAGGCGTCGGCTGCAAAGTGTGCCGTTGCTTTGCTTTGGTCCCACATGTCCTGAAGACTCGTCGGTGAACCTGCACATGAAGATGCTGATTCCAAACATCTGTCCGCATAGGTGTTCCGCACAGCGGCGTCGCGAATGGCATCCCTGTCTGGTCTTCTCGCCGCTGGCACGGTTGGTGTACATGACGGTAGCGCCAGAGATGCAATTACCAAGTAAGTAATGGTCTGTTGCTAAGGCCGTTTCTCGGCGACTTCTCAACGAAACAATCGTTGTTCGCAAGGTCGAATCACAAAGTATCAGATCCAACAGGTTGTAACTATTCTCCGTAATATCTCCCATTGGCAGTGCCCCCGCCTCCATGTAAGTTATTTTCTCATCCACTGGGCACTGCACGAAAGTATTGGCTATTTGTATCTCCAGGCCTGCGCAAAGTTCCATCATGAGGTCCCGGTTGGGCTGTTCGACTTCATTTAGTGCACGTCGTCCCCAACCAACATCTCCTATTACATAATGTTCTCCTGGCTGCGCCACCCCCATTTTAGCATTGAAGTCTCCCAATGCCAATTTCCCGGCATTGGCATTGCAAGAACGGCACGTGGAGTCTAGCATTGTATAAAAATGGCGTCGTTCGGGAAGCGGCCGCATATTGTGAGGAGCATACCCTGTAATAATTGCCATCGTGCTGGACCCAACTTTCAGTGTAACACAGGACAATCGGTCCGATATCTGCTTGTACGCTTTGATTTTGTGACGGCACTCGGGCGCCAGAATGAGCCCGACTCCAGCCCACACCCTTTCATCCGAATCTTCACCACACCAAATGATTTGGTAGTCGTCCATGTCGTACACCTCTGCTTTTGCACGGCGCGTCTCTTGCAGACGCAATATGTTGATGCCGTATCTTTCCATGTGCAAAATTAGCTCCTTCGTCTTCGTCTCCGTCAGGCTTCGCACGTTCCACGTTGCAGCGACGATGGAAGCCACTGCTGCCTGGGGAAGGGGTGGCTGAGGGGCAGGGCGAGGGGATATAGTAACCAGGGATTTTATCACAATGTCGTCCTCCGTATCTATGTCGATGCAAGCGGCTCCAGCTTTGAACTTAGTTGCGAATCTGTTGTTTGAGCTCTCCGGGAATGTTTGTGAAAGTGCAGCCAGTACGAGACTTCTGGCAGTGGTATCTTTGCCCAGCTCCGATGTATATCCTGCAGAGGCACAGGGGAACGAGGAAGTTCCGAGGAAGCTAGGTCGGGTTGAAGGCGTTCTCGACAGCGATATTCGTCGCCGCGGGGCCCGTCGTGAGGAGTGGAGCGCTTATGAAAATGTAGCTGCTGATCTCGGTGGTCATGCCGGAGGCCGGTAAATTGACCACGAAGGTAAGCATCAGAGCGAAAATCCATTATGGTATCTTTGCCCATATCGGGTGCTCGATTTGTTGGGGAAGAGGCGGAGTGGGAGTTTGAGATAGGAATTGCTTGTAGTGCACCGTGGTCGGCTCCAGCATGTGTCAAAGATGATGAACTTGTTAAGGTAGTAAATGCCAATGCTGGCCGCAGATCCTATGCTGAACCTTTCGCTATACCTTTGGCACCACTTTTCGGGTACATCGCCGCACGGGTCACGATGCCGTCGCATGCCGTAATAAGTTCGCGGAGTTTTGCATGGCTTTGCAACCTTTGCCATTCAAGCCACTCTTTATCTCCTGGCTGACAGATTTCCCGTCGAACGTAACAGATAATGCCAACTCCCTTCCCACTGTGACCGTGTATGGCAGGATGGTGTCGTCTACTCGTATGAGGTATTGCAGTCCCATTGAGTCTTTCAGAAAGTATTTCACACCGGAACAAAAGTTACGAGCGGCTCTGACCATAGGTGGGCGATCAGGCGTTGCCATTTTTGTTTTACCTTCTCGCTGGATCTTGGCGCTGCGTAGCTGGTTGACCACCTTGTTCCTGTCGTCGGTCGTGTTGAATTCCAAGAGCAAGATAGTAAAGGATTCCCCCTTGACGTACATATTCGATGGGATTGGTACCGATAGCCTCTGCACTTCCTGTTTTAACCATTCCCCAGCGGCATCGGTTGAACTAAAGCCATCCAGATTCCCGACAACGTCTGTTATGTCACGCTTATCTGTGCCATTAATGTGCCCAGGAGTGTGGAGTTGACCTTGTCCAGGTTCCTGGAGACGGGCGACTTCACGTTCGAGTTTTGCCAATTTCGCCTGCGTCGCGGAATCCACGGACGCTCCAGATACCGATTTTGCTGAAGCCGGCCTGTAATAATAATTTGTTTCCAGTAGGCCTATGCGTTTCGTCAGCTCGTCGATGTCGTTCCGGATCGGCCTTACAGCGGCTTGCAGATCCTTTTGCGATACGCAATGGGTTTTGATAGCCTGGATGTCGGTCTTGATGGGGTCAAGGTGGCGGTTCAAGATCGTCTCGAAGTTCTTTGCGGTCAAGGGCTTGTCCGCGGCTGCCTCCATGTAGTCCTGGAACTGCTGTTGTCGTTGTCGCAGCGCTAGTGCCCTGGAGTCTTCAG